GTTGGTTATTATACAACCCTTGACATTTGTACAACCAATACAACCCAATCTCAACCGTCCATTTCATTTGATGAATATGTGATTTCATAGAAGTTTTGATTATTTCCTAATATAAAGTATTAATCATAATCAATGAACTCTATTCATATTCTATAAATATTCAAATCAAAATAAATGAACTCTCATCATTTCTATAAATATCTCAATTAATTGGGTTGCAAGGGTTGTACAAATACACAAGGTTGTAAAAGAAATATACCCTATATATATATATATATATATATTCACATACAAAATTATATAGGTTCAAAAGTAGTTCGTTTTCATTTTTTATGTTAATGTAAAATCACATGTGATTTTGTACATTAACGGCATTTTTCTTATTTTCTTAAATAGTTAGCGTTCTCGTTTGAATCTTCTTTTCTTTCTCTCTTTCTCTCTCTCTCTATATATATGTATATATATGTGTGTGTGTATATATATATATATATATGTGTGTGTGTTTGTATATATATGTATATATATAGGACATAATCAAACAAGAAGACGATTAATTTATAAAAAGACGAGATGCAATCTCAACCTTACACCTCATCATATCTTATTATTGTGATTAACTTCCTAAAATGATATTAAGGTAATTTTCAATTTAAGATTTTTTAATTAGAGGGAGGTTCATACGAGAGTGATACGTATTTCAGAAAATAAGAGAATAATTATAGGTCAATAATCTATTTGAATAATGTCATCGCCCAAAAGGTCATATGTGTCATTTATTGTATATATATTATATATGGAAATTCATTTATTTCAATAAAGATTATTTAATGCATTTAATTAAGGTATTTATTCATTATTTTTTTTATATTTTTGTGATTTAAGCATGATTAATTTTTTATTTATTTATTTTTTATTTTTTACAACATTTTAAAATAAGCGTGATTTAGTTTTTTTTTTTGAAAATATTTGTTTTTATTGAAGTAGTTTATTTTTTAAAAAATTATAATTTTTCATCAAAAAGCATATGTGATATCCGCAATTGAACGACGTTTTTTTTTTCCGAAAAAAATCATTAATTTTAGCTATTGTATCATATGTGCTATTGAATATAGTGGAAAAGAAGTAAGTTATCTGCAACATTACATGTAATATGTGTAAATTACGAATTACATTTTGAAGTATATGTGATTTTATACATTTAAATGTGTTTCCATTACACATCGCATGTGATTTTATTTTTATTATTTTTCTTTTTCAGTGTTTAATTTGAATCATTATTTTTCAAACTTTAAATCACATATTTTTAGGAAAATAGTTTGAAAAAAATAATAATTATGAATCACATGTGATTTTGTAGTTGTTAGTGTAAAAACACATGTGATTCGACCATTCTTTTATTTTCTTAAATACATACTATTCTCGAATGAACTTAATTCTATTTAATTAATTATTTTATTCTCTCAAATATCTACTAAATCTTTAATCATACCCACTTAATTTTGGATAACTATCAAACCATGATTTTTTTTTTACATTTTTATGTTTATTTGCTTTATTTTATTTCACCATCTTTTTTCTTTAATTTTTTATTTATGGTCTTCTTTTTCACAATTTTTTCTTATACATTATCATATATGATATACTATATATCAGATGTGACTTATTTCACATCTGTTTCTACAAAATTTTCACGATTTTATGGATTCATGATATTGATTCCATGTTCTAAATCACACATAACAGACCGATCACATGTGATCCACTTAATTCACTATACTAAAAAGACTAATCACTAGTGACTACAAAAAAACCTTACAATCATATGTATTATGCTACAAGATTACATACATAAAACTCACAATCATATGCAGAATATCACATTAGTAATTAATAACACAAAAAACGAAGATCATAGTATTATGTTAGAATATCAAATGTGATTAACAACAATGTAAAACACGAAAAAAAAAATCTACTACAAATACCACATATGATTGTGTTCAATGCAAATAACATATGATTGTAATACAAATAAATATTACATGTGACAATATACAAACATAACATATGATTTGTATTAAATGTCAAAAACACATGAACATAATACAAATTAATATCATATCATATGCTATAATATACAAATTCACATATGATAATATACAAAATAACAAACATAAACCTACCAAACTACTTTCAATCATGGAGGATGGATCCAAATCATGGTGAAATTGAAAATAATATTACTTTAGGACATGTATTTTGATCGTCATTATACTGAAAATGCATGTTTTTAAAGTCTGTTTGGATGATTCTCGATTAATTTTATCCACCTCGAACTTATCTTTACTTATAAATCCTTTTGCAGGTTTTATGCAAACAAGTGATTAAGTGCATTAATTAGAAGCGTTGTGTTATCTTTAGATGTATGGTTGTTTTGAATCAAACAATAACTTGTAGAAAACCTCATAAATTAGTGAAGTATAGTATTGGAAGTTGGGTGCACATGTACAAACGTGTAAGATTGTTATTTATTTTGTTTAAACATAATTTTTAGGTTTTCCTTTTTATCAAGAAGTTGTTTTACTTTTTTAATTATAATAAAAATTTGAATGTCACTGCATTGCAGTGGATACATAACTAGTATATATATAGATAATGAAAAAAATATTTATATCCAATAATTAAATCTAGACTTGTATCAGGTTAACCATGATCGACCAATGTCGATTGGCCCAAGAGCTCTCGGCCAAGTCGGTCCCCAAGCCCAGCCATCAGCCGAACCTGACTCCCAGCCTTGCGAAACCCCACTTGGCAACTTGACTGATTAGCCCCATGCGCTCCATGATCCAGAGCTAAGGCTTGAGAGGTAGCTGCCATTTTCGGGGCCGTTTAGGCTTGTTTATGGTCCATTTTTCTCAATTCTTTTTGCTAAACCTAGCAAGTTAACAAAAATCCTAACCTATATAAACAAGAATCACTCAAAACCACCCAATATTAGTGAGAATTTTGCACTCAAAGTTCTAGCATTACTGAGAATATCGTTTTTGCGTTTTTCTACAAATCGACTACCTTATCCAGCCATTATTTTGACTCAAGAAAAGATTTGGAAACACTAGCCACATGAATTAACATTACTAAATACAAATTTTGAGTTTCGAGTGGAGGTTATATTATACCTTAATTCAACAAACTCTGAAAACCCTTTATTTTCTTGGTCTATGACTCTATGCGACCTTGACAACAATCCAAGGTCGCATGTCAGGCTGCGTGGGACCCTAAATGGCCCAAAATCCACTTTTTACCCCATACTAAGATAGGGTTTGTAAATACCATTAAAATTCATAATTGGAAGTTTACAACAACCTTAACTTGGTCAAACCCCACAATTGTATTTATATCAAATTATGGGCGTTACAATACCCACTATATTAATTTATGTTAAACTTGGAGGAATCTTGCACCCATGCCATCTATTTACTTTTTGTTTATAAACCAAATGAAAACCCACAAAACAATCTTAGCTTCACTACATGAAGTTAGCTTTTCATTTTGATATCTTGCAACTTTAAAAACATATCCTTACGTAATACGATACTTGGTTCTTATAATTTTAAGACCTGATAGTACACGAGAGTGTATATTTGCGTAGTCTTGCTACTGTTTTTGTGCGTTTACAAACATCTTAAGGTTCTAAGAATCATGTAAACAACTCATTAAGAAGCTTGTAAAGGTGAAAGATTATGGAACTCTTGTTCTTGTTCATTTACTTGTGAAGTTGGAGTCATTCTTCTCGATGACAACATGCCTAGAAAGAACTTTTCGGCAATGACTTCTATGAGGAATAGATTGCATAGTAATATAAAGAAAATATGTCTTATCTAAATTTTTTAATGATAATGGCTTCCAAAATTCGGACACTTTGCGAGAGCAATTGTAAATTTAATTTGGATATATGTTTTGAACATAGTGTCGTTTTTAAACAATCCATTGTTATTTTGAGTTCTATGGCACTACTTTGTTGGATTTTTTATTCTAAGATTTGCCATTGATTTCATTAGGGAAAATGAAACCAACTTTTACCTGATTCTTATTTTGGGGAACCAACTTTCAAAATCGTCATTTATTAAAGTTTAAATCAAATTTGGCAAATCAAACCAAAAGTTTGATAGAGACCCTTAAATTACATATTACATGTTTAAAAATTTGGTTTCATTTTGGTGCAATTTTCCCATTTCATTAATATCAAAAGTGTATTGGTAAGTTGGATATGATGTTTATCAATAAGATGTGATAACATAATAGGCACAACTTCGATATTCAACATTGGGATTGTACTTAAAAGCAGAAATTCACACATTGATTTTTATAGTATGAAGATGATTATGGTTTGTTGTCTTCCCATATATTATGAAAATTTCATAGATTATCTTTATTTACTTGTTCAACTCAATTTATAGAAAAGTGGTTTGGGTTTCATTTATATGGCAAAAAGTATGCAAAGCAGTAGTTACTTCTCTAACTGGTATATTGGGAAAACCTAAACATGACAAACGTTGTTGTACCTTCTCTTAGATACATGCTTGTAAATTTCATATGCATCTCGAACATTGTTTTGAACATAATTGGTTTCATTGACTACCTTCGCCACCAAAATTAACAACCTTGTACACCAAAAACCTTTTTCTTTTGCTGTTTCCTTATCTTTAATGCTAACATAACAACTCAGGTTATGTGTGTAATCATGAAGAAAAATTGATGGTTAATAAGTCGAGCGGTGGTTCCTCCATTGACCATCGTAGCGATGGCGATGGCGGTTGAGGGAGGGTAGAAAAATAAAATTGGGAATGGATTTTAAAATGCATACGGATGGGGAAAAAAAGGAAAAAAGAAAAGCAAAAACAGCACCGTATGATATTTTGGTGCATCTCAAACGTACTACACACACAAACGTACAGCTATATAAATAACTAGAATAACAATTAGGGTTTTTTTTAACCCTCTTTCTTGATTTTACTCCCCCATCGTCAAATTCCTCTTTATACACTCCTTCAATCACCCTTCGCCTTTCAGCCGATCGGTTTCAATTGAATTAAAACATTCACATTTATCTTTATTTATCAATTCAGCTTCAATACTTGTTCTTGGGTTTGTTAGATTTTGGGGTATTTTTTTGATAAAATCGGGTGGTATTTGTCAAGGACGATGATAAGGGTTCATTGTTCTTTCGATCGTCGTTGATCGTCGGATACGAAAGGGGGTTCGGGCTTTGTATGGAAACTCGTAGCCGGAAGAGGGCGGAGGCCACCTCATCAGCCCATTCTTCTTCGTCATCCGGCGGTCCTACCATCCGTTCTAGCAAACGCACCCGTCTTTCTACTACCACCTCCTCCTCTGCCTCAGCCGCAGCAGCTACCAACGTCGTCGTTTCTACTCGTTCACGCGCTTGTAATATGGATAATTCCACCAATGAATCATCCGGGTCCGGGTCGGGTCGAGGCCGTCGTAGTAGGAAGAATACTAATAACCAGAATATGGGATCGGATAGGGATAATTCCGATAAAGGGAAAGAGAAAGAACATGAAGTTAGGGTTAAGGATAGAGATAATAGTATTAGAGACAACAACTTAGGACTGAATATCGATGGTGGCGTCGGCGGAGCTGATGATGATGACGATGATAGCGAGGGCGGAGGTGTCGGGATTTTGCATCAGAATTTGACTTCTGCAAGCAGTGCACTTCAGGGTTTGTTGAGGAAGCTAGGTGCAGGGTTGGATGATCTGCTTCCTTCATCAGCAATGGCGTCTGCTTCATCATCTCACCAAAGCGGTCGGCTAAAGAAGATCCTTTCCGGTTTGCGTGCTGACGGGGAGGAAGGAAAGCAAGTTGAGGCTTTAACACAGCTGTGTGATATGCTTTCTATTGGCACTGAGGATTCACTTAGTACTTTCTCCGTGGATTCTTTTGTGCCAGTGCTTGTTGGGTTGCTTAATCATGAGAGCAATCCCGATATTATGCTGCTTGCAGCCAGGGCACTCACACATCTCTGTGATGTGCTACCGTCTTCATGTGCTGCCGTGGTGCACTATGGTGCTGTTTCTTGCTTTGTTGCTAGGTTGCTTACCATCGAGTACATGGACTTGGCTGAACAGGTTTGCCAGCTTATTAGCTAAATACTTGCACAAATTTAATCATGAAATGATGTGTTGTAGTTTAATTTCTACATGTATATTAATATATCATAAGTGATGCTACGTGGGGATAGATGAGGTACCTTGAATGCTTAAAGAGCAGAACACCTTTTATCACAAGTAGACTGAGGATGTGAAGGAATTTTCTTGAGGGAGGGGAAGTAGGCTATCGCATACTTTAAAATTTGAGCATCATTGAAATCTTGTAACTAGTGATAGTATTCTTGCTTGAAGTTTAAATTTGAAGCTGTGGATAGTAGTATTTAATGTTGATGTTTATCATTGATAACAGTCCTTGCAAGCTCTTAAGAAGATATCTCAGGAGCACCCTACTGCCTGCTTGCGAGCAGGGGCGCTAATGGCAGTACTCTCTTATCTTGACTTTTTCTCAACAGGAGTCCAGGTACCCCCTGTTCATTCTTCTAAATGTATGGAAGAAAGGGATGTATATTCAGGGCAATCTTATAATATTGACTTTGTCTTGTATGTCTCAGCGTGTGGCATTATCTACTGCCGCAAATATGTGCAAAAAACTTCCATCTGATGCAGCTGATTTTGTCATGGAAGCTGTTCCTTTATTGACAAATCTTCTTCAATACCATGATGCCAGGGTGAGTACTGCAATTTCTGAATTTTAGCTATCTAAGGCTGGTTAACTGGCTACTTTCTTATCTCATTATGATATTTCTTGGCTTGTATTATATTTCTAGGTTTTAGAGCATGCTTCAGTTTGTTTGACTCGAATTGCGGAGGCATTCGCAGCATCTCCTGATCAGCTGGATGAGCTTTGTAATCATGGATTAGTTAAACAAGCAGCCTCTCTCATATCAACTAGCTGTTCTGGAGGTGGACAAGCATCACTTAGCCCATCTACATACACGGTACATAAGTAATTTGCTTTTGTTTGGAATATAATATTACTGTGGGAGGCTGCATTACTTAATGTATCTTTTCAGGGCTTAATCCGATTGCTATCTACATGTGCAAGTGGTTCTCCTTTAGGATCCAAAACTTTGCTCCTCCTAGGGATCAGTGGGATTTTTAAAGATATATTGTCAGGTTCTGGTCTTGTCGCAACAATGTCTGTGTCACCTGCCTTGAGTAGACCACCGGATCAGGTAATGTTTCTCTGTATATCATTTTCTCTTTCATTTGTAAAGCTTTTGGTTTGTTTTCTCCTGAATCTATTGAAAGTGGTAAACAATTTCTCATTTCCACCATGTATCACGGTAGATTCAATTCTTGAGTGCCTCATACTTTCTAATGCGCCATTGCTCAATTTTGAAATCATCTCCTCTCGATAACGTTGTAAGCTGGTTTAATTTATGCTATCCTTTAAATATTTGTACTTTTCCGGCATAGCTACCCAAGTTCTTGAAGTCCTTTTGAGACTTCGTCATGGTGTAAAAAAGAAGAGACATAATGCTCTTATAAAGTGATAAGGCGAGGTTACTAAAATGGTTGAGCAATAGCAACAACAATTGCTTCAGGGACTTTTTATGACAGACTGTAATGTCAATCTGAGGTTATTTTTAGACTAGCCTTTCTTTAAGGGGTGGTCGCAATGTGATGGAAGAAAAGATCTTGTTGTAATGATGGTTGGTAGGGAGTCTTTAGCTGAAAGTAGCTAGTAAAAGAAGGAGCATTGCAGTTTCCAAATAAACCAGTTCTTTTTCATTTTCGCAAACTGCGCAAAAATTTATGTAGGATTGGTATAGTTAATGTTTTTAAGGAAGATGAGGACTCACAACTAGCCGTTTTAATAAGGTGCCACCAACTATATATCTATTATTTAACAATTTTGCTCATATTAATGATATCATTCAGTTTGTAAACCTCTATGTTTTTTAGATAGTCTATTAGGAAAATTAACAGTACTAGCCTTTTAGCATGCACTTCTTTTTCTTAGTCATCCACGATTAGTTTAGCACTTCACACTTGAGTAGCAATGTTTTTTAATTACTTTTTTTCTTTGTATGCAGATATTTGAGATTGTGAATTTGGCAAATGAGCTTCTTCCTCCATTGCCCCATGGAACCATAACTCTTCCTGCCAGTAGTAATGTATTTGTCAAAGGGTCTCTATTTAAGAAATCTGCTGGAAGTTCTAGCAAGCAAGAAGAAATGAGTGGCAGTGCACCCGAGGTCTCAGCTCGTGAGAAACTGTTAACTGATCAGCCTGAGCTTTTGCAGCAATTTGGGATGGATCTTCTTCCTGTTCTGATTCAGGTTAGCTCGGACGAGTGATTGTACACTTGTCTGCAATTACTCATGGAAACAAATTGACATTTGCTTTGGTCTTGCAGCTATATGCGTCAAGTGCAAATGCACCTGTGCGTCACAAATGTCTCTCGGTTATTGGGAAGTTGATGTACTTCAGCACTGCTGATATGATTCAATCTCTACTTGGTGTGACGAACATATCAAGGTACATCGGTGGTCAGATATTTTATTAATTTGTGATGTGTTGGTTTCTTGTATAATGTAAAAGTTCTAATATTGTACGCTTTAATGAAATTCTAGTTTCTTGGCTGGGGTTTTGGCTTGGAAGGACCCACAAGTCGTCGTACCTTCCCTTCAAATCGCAGAGATCCTGATGGAAAAGCTTCCAGAAACTTTCAGTAAGATGTTTGTGCGGGAAGGCGTTGTTCATGCGATAGATACTCTTGCTGGATCATCTGGTAATGCTCTTTCCCAACCATTATCAAGTGAGACGGTTAATGATTCTATACCTGGATCATCCTCACGCTCGAGGCGTTATCGACGCCGCGTTGGTACCTCCAATACAGATGTAAATGCTGCTGAAGATTTGAAAAACTTGGTCCCTGCTGTTGGTTCTCCCACAAATTCAGTAGAATTGCCACCTGTCAGTTCCAGTCTTCGGATTGTAGTTAGTGCTAGTGCAAAAGCTTTCAAGGATAAGTACTTTCCTTCTGATCCAGGAGCTGTGGAAGTTGGTGTTACAGATGATCTTGTACATTTGAAAAATCTTTGTAAAAAGTTGGGCGCTGCTGTGGATGATCAGAAGATAAAGTCCAAGGGGAAGTCCAAAGCTTCTGGCCACCGGTTTGCTGATTTTTCACCTAGCAAGGAAGAAAACTTGTTAGGAGTGATAACTGAGATGTTAACAGAGCTAACCAAAGATGATGGGTTTTCCACATTTGAATTCATTGGTAGTGGTGTTGTTGCTGCTTTGCTGAATTACTTCTCTTGTGGACACTTCTCAAAAGACAAAGTATCTGAAACAAATATGCCTAAGCTACGTCAGCTAGCTATTAAAAGATACATATCATTTATAGAAGTTGCACTTCCGTCCAGTGTCGATGAGGCAAAGCGGGCTCCTATGAGTGTTCTAGTTCAGAAGCTCCAATATGCTTTGACCTTCTTAGAACGTTTCCCTGTAGTGTTGAGCCACAGTTCTAGATCTTCTACTGGAAATGCACGCCTATCTTCTGGTCTTGGTGCGTTATCTCAGCCATTCAAACTGCGTCTTTGCAGAGCGCATGGTGAAAAATCTCTCCGTGATTATTCTTCAAATGTTGTCCTCATTGATCCATTGGCAAGCTTGGCAGCTGTGGAAGATTTTCTTTGGCCTCGTGTTCAGCGGAGTGACTCCAGCCAGAAATCTTCTGCATATGTCGGTAACTCAGAGTCTGGAACCACACCTGCAGGAGCTGGTGCTTCATCTCCATCTACTCCTGCATCTGCTACACGCCATCACTCCACAAGATCCAGGTCTTCAATTAGCATAGGTGACTCGGCCAAAAAGGAGACACCACAAGAGAAAAATGCGAGCTCTTCAAAAGGGAAGGGAAAAGCTGTATTGAAGTCTGCTCAAGATGAGGGGAGAGGACCTCAGACAAGAAATGCTGCTCGGAGAAGGGCTGCTCTGGATAAAGATGCACCGATGAAATCTGTAGATGGCGAGTCTACTTCTGAGGTATGCTTCAATCTCCCATACTAGAATTTGTTATCTTTGAATATTTTCTTACATATTTGAATTAGTGACTATCAAACCTTTTGTTCTGTTCTTGTTCAATTGGCATCAGTATTGAAACATTGTGCTGTTGTTTGTTTTCCTTTTACTTCAAATCATACTAATATGTTGGGATCTTATGTATTCATCTTCACATGATATTTGAAGATCTAGTATCCAGGCCACCTTTTGAAATCGTAACCATCTTTAGAGTAGTATAATCTGTAGGTATATTCATGCAGTTACAGTAAATTCTGGCAGATGAAAGGTATAATATCTAAATTGGTTATACTATGATCATAACATACCGATCCAAATCTGTTGACGTCGTCCTATTGCCCCCTGTAATATATGTACTTGTACATTCGGTTCATTGGGTTTTTACATGTAAATAACAGTATATAGTTGAGAATACAGGATCTGCAGGATTCAAACTTCAAGATCTTGAGACCACAAATGGACTTTAACTTCTCCTTGACTTGGCTCAGTGTCTAACCCTCACCCCCGTCCAAAAGGAAAATATGAAATTGTGGTCTCTTGGTCTTGAAACACAACCCGCCATCATCACCTCCATGCTACGGTGACCATTTCTTGCATACAATTGCTAAGTGACTGATGCCTGATTAGGTACATGATAACATGTAGTAAATTCCATTATGTTCTAGGTGATGACATGGCGCCTGCCATAGGCTGTTTGTGAACATAACCTTCGAACAATTGCGGAAGTGTTTATTTGCTCCAAAATCCAAACCAAGAGTTAGTGATTTGGAAACCTTGGACAAATATTAGGGTGGCGTTTGGTTCGCAGAATGTTTTTGGATGTAATGGAATATGTCAAAAGAATTTGACTTTAAGGAATTGAAATGGAATGTTGTCAGGTTTGGCCATCTGTTTGGTTGGTATTATTGGAATGGAATCTGTCAAAGGAATTGGAATTTGTCTGTTTGGTTCACAGAATGTAGCTTTAGAATTGGAATGAAATTCTGGTAAATGACTAAAATACCCTTTTTGATAAATTTAATTTGTAAATAAATGCATTCAACAAAACGGATTTGTAGAGAATTATATACAAATCTTTTGTATTCACCATCATAGATTTATTAAACAGATTTTTATACAGATTACACAAAACATATTATATACAGATTTGTAAAGATTTATATACAAAAAAGATTTATATACATATTTATCATAGATTCTGTACTTCAAATCGAGAAGAGAAGACAGATTGCAAAAATCGAGTTCAAATCTTGAAATCGATCTGCTTTATCGATGGTTTCTGCAATGTCGAAGTCTGGTATATGATAGAAATCGACCAGACAGAAATTAGCCACAAAGAAATCGACCACACAGGAAACGAACAGAGAGAAACCAAGGATCGAGTGTGATGGAGAACCCAGAGAAATTGAATGCAGGTATCAGGCAGAAATTGAACCTGGTTATGCGATTGAAGTCTGGTTTGCGATGGAGTGCGATAGAGAACCCATAAGAAATCGAGTTCGGAGGTATCAGCTTCTTGTTTATCAGATTAGGTCGTATTATGTTTTATGATATTAGGTTATATTGGGGTGAGGGTATATTTGGTATTAAGAAAATGGAGAATTTCATTCCATCAAAATACCATGTAGTTGTTAAAGAATGTTCAATTCCTTTGGTTGTGGAATGTGATGGATTTTAGAGATTCCTTCCAAAGAAAAGAATGAACCAAACAATGGAATGGAATTTGGTCAAAGGAATTCAACATTTCAATTCCATCAGATTCCTTTATATTCTGCGAACCACATGCCACCTAAGATTTTCTTGCCATCTCAGCCGATCAAGCACTTTAAAATCGATCCCTAGACACCCCACCATATGTGTGAAACCTACCGCCATTCTACTCAATGTAATAGGGATGAGTAGACCGCTGACTTGGTAGCTCGGGATCCTCTTTAACAGTAAAGTGAGATCAAACTTACCTATAGGTTGTACACTTTGTTATATCATTTATAACACTCAAGATTCTTAGATTCACCATCATGCCTCAGATTGTGGGTAAATGCTCTTTGTTAGAAATACTAGCTAACCTCTAATTTCACGTATTGGAACTGAAACCAAACGGAGCGTATGATTCATCCTGAATATACTAAGAGCTTATCCTGAATCGTGGATATAAAGGTGTCAAACCCCATGTTCAAAATAAAATCATTAGGAAAAGAGTCTTTTAGGCACCGGGTGCATTTTCTGCTCCGTTGGATTATATTTAAGAGCATCCTTCAAATTTGTTGTAATCTCACACACTGTATATCTACTTTACTTTTGAAGTATCTATATACATGTCCAAGGGATGACATCTTTACCATTGCTATTGTGCTAGTCATAATTATACTTGACGTTAAACTACTTAATCTTGGTTATGACTTATGAGAGGAAGTTACGTACACCTTGAATGAATGTTCTTCAGGAGGTAGTATTCCGAGTCCAATGGATTATTGAGAATCCTCGAAGATACAAACATATGTTGAATACATGGCACATCTGTGTGAGCCTTCCCAGTTCAACTATTTTATTATCACAACAAAACAAGTCACTACCGATATACTTATGCCTCAAAGGCTTGAGATGAGATGTATGGCTCTTATATTCTGTCAAATCAGGCTACTGGCTTCATTTGTTTTCAAGGATATAAAAAATATCTTTATAGGGAACGTAATGAAGTTATACCACATTCAGTCAGGAGTGTCTATTCAACAATATAATGCCCCAGCACTTGATGCTACAACGTTTTTATGCACCATAGGTTATATGCTAGCCAACATCGTCACTTGTAGCAGACAAAGCCGTGTGGCTATTTACAAAGTTTTTGATCGACAAGGTTCTATATTTTGATCGACAAGGTTCTATATTTTGTAAGAAACTATCCTATTTGATTCTGTTTTGATGTTGACATGTGATATTTTTGAAGATAGCAGAATTATGGCTCTCTTCAATTTTTCACCTTTTATTGTATTCCAGATCTCCTGGAATCTGCTCCCGATGACAACAATTAGTCTGCCGCTTTAACTTGAGTTTCATTCATGTAGGAAGGGACAGTGATATGAAAAAAATTATGTTCTCATCATGTGGTTTGTTAGATGTCGAATACTATGAAAAAAACTATGTGCGCGTGTGTGCCCGTGAGAGAGCTAATGGTTAGACCTAAGATTCATCTCACTATTTAACATCCTTTACTAATGATTTAGGAGGATAATTATGTCTATACTTTGTAACCTGTTATACTAACCAAACTTGTCATTTTCAACATATTTCTTATTGGCAAGATATCTGAATCTGATATTCATGCCCTCGTGTTTTCTTCTATTTCCAGGATTGTTTCTTCAGTTAGCCAGTTGTTTTCGTTAGATCTTCTTGATCTCATTTTTTTACTTTAGCTTTTTCTACCATTGCTTATATGAGTTTTTTTGTGCTGTAGGATGAGGACTTCGATATATCACCTGTTGATATTGATGATGCATTGGTGATTGAAGATGATGACATTTCTGAGGACGAAGATGAAGATCATGATGACGTATGCTGTCGTTTCATTTTTGTTATTGTGTTTTAGTTTCATATCTTGAAGTGGTTACTAGTTCACTGGCTGTGCGATAATATCTGGGTCTACAGTGGTATTCAGTGGCAACTTAGGGGCTGTTTGTTTCAGGCTGGGAATGGATTTTTATTCCCCAATTTAACCTGGAATGAAAATTTGGGCTTGTGGGGGAATGAGTCCATTATATTATATAAAAACAAACACTGTCTTCTATTTTCATTCCCATTGATTACTGCTTAATACCTATAAACAAAAACCCTCTTAGTGTTTCTAACAATCTAAACTTGTTAGTTAAAGAAAAAGTCTGTTTGAAAGATGTCTATGTCGTTACTGATAATTTTGTTTAACCACCATGGATAGTGTAGTTTGCAGTGTTTCCAGACATAGCAAGCTTTACTATATCAGTTAGATGTTTGTGTGCAGGTTTTTCTGATGAATGATTTGTCTTTTTGTTGCTTGCAGGTGCTAAGGGATGATTCTCTTCCAGTTTGCATGCCAGACAAAGTTCATGATGTTAAGTTGGGCGACTCTGCTGAGGAAAGACCTGTTGGTGCTGCAACTAGTGATAGCCAGGCAAATCCAGCTTCTGGCTCTAGCAGCAGAGGTACAGCCGTTCGTGGGTCAGAGTCTGCGGAGCTTAGAAGTGCGAATTCGTTAGGTTCAAGGGGTACGATGTCCTTCGCTGCTGCTGCCATGGCTGGGCTTGCATCGGCAAATGGCAGAGGTATCAGGGGCGGCAGGGAGCGGCATGGGCGGCCCCTTTTTGGCTCTAATGATACTCCCAGGCTGATATTTTCTTCAGGCGGGAAGCAACTCAACCGTCATTTAACCATCTATCAAGCTATTCGGCGACAGCTTGTCCTGGATGAGGATGATGATGAGAGGTATAATGGGAGTGACTTTATATCTAGCGATGGAAGCAGATTATGGGGTGATATCTTTACGGTTACATACCAAAGAGCAGACAGTCAAACAGATAGGGCATCAGTTGGAACTGTGAGTTCTACAACTCCATCTAAATCTACTAAAGCCGGTTCTACCTCAAACTCCAATGGTGATTCACGGATGCATCAAATGTCTCTGTTAGACAGCCTTTTGCAAGGGGAGCTTCCTTGCGATTTGGAAAGGAACAACCCTACTTACAGCATATTGTCTCTATTACGTGTATTAGAGGGTTTAAACCAGCTTGCGCCACGCTTGCGTGTGCAGTCAGCAACTGATCGTTTTGCTGAAGGAAAAATCTCGAGTCTAGATGACCTGAATGTTACTGGTGTTAAGGTTCCTGTTGATGAGTTTGTCAATAGCAAATTAACTCCCAAGTTGTCAAGACAAATGCAGGATGCTCTTGCACTTTGCAGTGGTAGTCTTCCATCATGGTGTTATCAGTTGACAAAAGCATGCCCATTCTTGTTTCCTTTTGAAATTAGGCGCCAGTATTTCTACTCAACTGCTTTTGGGTTGTCTCGTGCATTACATCGGCTTCAACAGCAGCAGGGTGCAGAAGGCCATGGATCTATGAATGAGCGAGAGTTCAGGGTTGGAAGGTTACAGCGGCAGAAAGTCCGTGTTTCGCGGAATCGTATATTAGATTCTGCTGCGAAAGTCATGGAGATGTATTCAAGCCAAAAGGCTGTTCTTGAAGTAGAATATTTTGGTGAAGTTGGCACTGGTTTGGGCCCTACCTTGGAGTTCTATACCCTATTAAGTCATGACCTTCAGAAAGCGGGACTGAGAATGTGGAGATCTAATTCTCCTGATGTCAGCACATCAGTGGAAGTTGATCCTGAGGAGAAGAAAGCCGGCAAAACAAGTACCACACCTGCTTCTGGCAAGGGTGTTGGAGATCTTGTTCTATCTCCCCTTGGGTTATTCCCGCGTCCGTGGCCTCTCACTGTCGATACTTCTGATGGTAGCCAGTTTTCTAAGGTAACAGAGCATTTCCGTCTTCTTGGTCGTGTAATGGCCAAAGCACTTCAAGATGGGAGGCTTTTGGATCTGCCCCTTTCAGCGGGGTTCTATAAGCTTGTGCTTGGACAGGTAAGCTGGTTGTTTTCTATTTTTAAAGGCTTGGATATTCATGCAACTTTTTGATCTTTATGTTGTTTTGGCTTGACACTTACAGCTTCTTCTATTACAGGAACTTGATTTGCATGACATTTCATTGTTTGATGCTGAATTTGGCAAGACATTAGAAGAGTTGCAAGCTCTTGTTTGCAGGAAACAGTACCTAGAGTCGATACATGACCGAAATGAAATACTAAACTTAAGGTTTAGGGGGGCGCCAGTTGAAGATCTTTGCTTGGACTTCACACTTCCTGGTTATCCTGATTTTGTTCTGAAATCGGGCGATGACAATGTACTTGCGCATCTTTTGAGCTGTTTAACTTTTTTGTTTATGGGTTTATGATTGTTTAGAATTTCTTGCAACGGTTATGCTGTGTGTGTTGATGAAGTTCAATTCTAAATTTGTAGGTTGATTTAAACAATTTGGAGGAGTACATTTCTCTGGTAGTTGATGCTACAGTCAAGACTGGTATCACGCGTCAAATGGAAGCATTTAGAGCTGGATTTAATCAGGTCATCATCTTTGCTCATTCCTACTTGGTGCAATATTTGTTTCTTAGAGTTCATTTCCTTCTGGAAATCTTTCTGAAAGTTTTCAAGATTTAATCTTTTTGTCCTGCTGTAGCAAATTAAATTTGTGATCCTTTTGTATCTGTGATGATTTACTGCTTTGTGTTGCAAGTAGAAAATACAGGCCAGATCCTACCTGTAAGTTCTAAGCTAATGTATATTACATAACTATCAGGTTTTTGACATTTCGGCTCTACAAATTTTTTCTCCAAGTGAGTTGGATTATCTACTTTGTGGCCGTGGAGAATTGTGGGAGGTAAAGTGATCCTTTCTGGTCCACATTTTTTAGTTAAACATGTTTTTCCTAATAAAGCAAGATGTAATTCAACTTTTCTCCAAATGCAGGTTGATACGCTTGTTGAACATATAAAATTTGATCATGGATACACTTCCAAGAGCCCTGCAGTGGTTAATGTATGTAACATCTTTTTTGTTTAATTCTTCCTGGGCTTGCAAGTGACTTCTGTTTTGGGGACCCCCAAGACTGTCTTTCCCACCATTTTTGCTTGTGCTAGTGCCCCCAGAAATTCTGTTATTCGAGAGCAGCAATTGTTAGAGAAGAACTATAATCTAATAAAGTGTGTTGTTAATGTGACTTTTAGTTGCTTGAGATATTGGGAGAGTTCAATTTGGACCAACAACGGGCATTCTGTCAATTTGTCACTGGTGCACCTCGGCTTCCTCCTGGTGGTTTGGCGGTGTTGAATCCTAAGTTGACGATTGTGAGAAAGGTATCTTGTGAACACCATTGCACTGTTCATTATTATGTTTCGTAACAATGGTTATGAACTCTGGTTTTGTTGTGTGGCACAGCATTCTTCAACAGCCAACAATGCGGCATCCAATGCAGCTGGATTGTCTGAATCTGCAGATGATGATTTGCCAAGTGTGATGACATGTGCTAATTACCTAAAGCTTCCTCCGTATTCCACCAAGGTGCAACCTACTTCTATATGTACCCTGAAAAAGTCTGCATTGGTAGTTTGTTCCAAGTTGTTTGCCGATAAATAACATCTGCTCACTTTTTTATGCCATTTATATGCCTCCATGACAAAAAATATGGTACTTATGTAGCAAACACATTCCTTGCCATCAAAGTTACCTCTCTACCCCTTGGAGTAGAGGTAAAGTAAGCATACATCGTACCCCCAGATCCTATCAGTGTAGGATTTGCTGGGTTTGGTTTGGTTTTAGAATTGGCTGCCCATTTTCATAATTGAAGGAAAATTTGGGGATACTTATTTGGTTCACACATTTTGTTGAATATTTGCCTTTGTGTAACGAGTAGTATTGAAATGGTTTGGGCAGGAGATCATGTACAAGAAACTCGTGTATGCTATCAGCGAAGGACAAGGATCGTTTGATTTGTCATAAGTTAAACCAATCAACCAAGTTGTGTATATTATATCCGAGAATCCTTTGTGCCTTAACTTGTGAATAAAGGTGGTCTCTTATCAAGTTAAGGTGAGTTGGTATTCTATTTATTTGGCTTATATTGAATTGAAGATGACATTGTGTGTTGTGCTCATCATCAGTCTTTTATGATTGAAGGGTTTCCAGTGGAATGGATGGGAAAATGATTGATGATGAAGAAGATGAAGATGAAGATGAAGAAAAAGAAATTGTGGAGGTAGAAAGTTTTTGTAAATAACTTCTACTGGAATCACATTTTGGTGCTGCTACTATTCCCTTGAAATTTTTGTTATACATCTCTGATGAAAAGATTGAATCCTTGGTTTTTCTTTCATGCAACTTTCTTTTTCAACTCTCTGTTTGTGTATGATTTTGTTTTTCAAACTCTTGATGGCTGGCTGAAGATTAAGGTATAAAATTCATTTTCTAAATCTTCTTTTTCTTTTTCTACTACCATTTTCAATTGAACCGGTGGTTTGGAATATGATCGATATCGGTTGTTTGATCAAGAGTCAAGTCTTGTCTTTTGAATGCCGCCGCGAGTTCTAATCATTCGTATGTTTAATAGAATTAAAAAGCATACAGTCCGATCCATATTTTACTTTGAATCATCGTTTTCTATTTATTACCAACAGTGACAAAAGAGAGTACCGATTATTTTATTAAGGCATTTCGGTTACATATCATTGTAATCGTCAAATACAGGTTTAAAACACATGATTAAATTTTGCTACTTGCATTCGTTATACTATATATTTTGGTATGGTATGGTATGGTATGCTATATTACTATAGAAAAAATTATAAAAATAATTGAATTACATTTTTATTAATCGATTATTACAAAACCAATGTTTTTAAAACCTTATTGCATACGAAATCCCAAGCACTCCTTAAAGATTTCAAAATCTTATATTTAAAGGATTTCAATTAAATTCAAAGGTTTTAAATCCGGACAATTCAACAAACCAAACATGATATTAGAATGAAAATTCCTCAAATTCATTTCATTCCTTCAAAACAAATTGAACCTGAGCTAAGTAGTTCAAACCCAACCCAAAGCTACAAAATCCGGTACTAAACCTAACCACATTATGATATCCTTTTCTTCAATTTATTTATCATTCAAAGCTTTCTTAAATAGTTAAATAAATACTGTTCTATTCTATTTGTTTTTGTCAAAACACAAAACAAAGAACAAAGAATATGATTACGTATATGTATATGTATATGTAGGGGCCGTTTACCAAACGTTTATCCGAGTAAGTGCTTATCGAGTCACATTAACTTACCGGATGGATATGGTAAGACCAAGAATTTTACCCGATAAGAGCGAGACAAGGATCAAAAGTCTTACTCGGTAAGTGAATGTGAGAACTCTTACCACGATTAGCGCTTACCGGGTAAATAGTTGCATACAATGTCGTTTTTGTTGACTAAAATCTTACTTGTTAAGTATGTGATAGTGTTAAATTTTACTAGTAAGCGCTTACCGGGTAAATATTTGGTAAACAACCCCGTAGTGAAGAAGTTACTTAATAAGACCGTTATTTTAATATTTATATTATATGAATCATATCAAAAATGAATTTTAGTAATCTTTCCTTTCTTTTTTCTTCCATGACCAATACCATCCATAAAATTTATGTCTTGTATTTTAAGTTAGTAACCTAATTAACCATAGGGGTGGTGCCTGATTGGTTTGAGCTTGACTCTAAAGGTCAAAAATACCAGGAGGTTTCAGGTTCAAATCCAAGGAGAAATAAAAATCCCTTTATGGCCACGAAGGTTCAAATACGGCGGCAAAACAGGTGCTTGCCCCGAGATTAGTCTGGATATCGAGGTTAATTAAAAAGAAAAAGAAAAAGTGAGGACCTAATTGGGCCGACCCGACCCATGTCATGTCATTGCAATTTGCAATCAACTTCCGAATTGAAATTGGGGGGAAAACTGAAAACAAATCGAAAATCATGAGTATAAAGAATGATTGCATTGCATCCATCTGATTGAAGCAAAACCATTGAATCCACCATGTCAACACACGGTGACCATCTCCATCTTCTCCTCTCCCTACAAGACAGGGTCCTAGAAACCCCACCCTCATCTCCTTCACCTGGTAATATTATTTCCTTCTCTTGTCTCTTTTTCTTGTTATTTCAGCTTACATTTCTCTCAAGTATGTGTCGCTTCTCTATCAATACGCTTATCACTCTGCCTTTCTTTATCCTTCCATTTGATTCATGGTTGCCCTAATAATAATATGTATCTTTTGTTGTTTAGTTATTCGATTTAGGTCAGCAAACTTTACTTGCACATAATCTATTTTGTTCCACCGTCACCAGATTTCTGCAACTTTCTTTATTCAATTAACCCAATCAAATTTACTTCACTTTTTCTTTTACAATACTGTTAGCTTTTTATGAAGATTAGTCTCTTTGCAACTGCACTATACTATAACTGGTGTCACCTTCTCTATGTTTTCTTGTTACCACGTCTCACGGAATTGTGTCTGGGTGTTTTATGTGATTGTCATATCATTTGTGTACCATTCATTTTTCAATTTTGGCTATAGATTACTACCTTTCTAAGGCACATAATCCAAGTGTGCCACTCTATTTTTCTAATCCATATCTGTACAAGTTCTTGGTTAATTATCTCATTTGTAATTGCTGTGTTCATTCTTAAAAATTGTAGGCTCTTTTCTTTCTTTCTCACTTTTCATCAAGCTCCTAATTATCGATTTTTGGCAAGTTAATATTTGAAACTGCAATAATCTGTGTTCATTTTCAAGAATTATGTGGGATTTCTTCTCAATATCGATATGGATTCAGGGTATCTATCTGATGATGGATCAGCCAGGCAGAGGGGACAGGCAGACATGTCTGTATTTAGAACTGCTGTTGAGGATTGTCTAGATTATGAACCTGAAACCTCCAAGAAACCTCTCAAATCTGGCCATGCAAAGAGCTCAAGTGACATTGAGGTTGAAAAATTCTCAGGTTTGAGAATCCGGTAGGTGGCTTTCTATTATAACTTGAAACACTGGACACGTGTTACCATGGCTTGAACAACCATTTTTATGTAGATTTTAGTATTTCACTGAATGTGTCTTAAAACAACAAATTTGACTTGTATGTCAAGGTTAATAATCACTTGAAAACTGGGTGATAAGCTTAAGATTTCCAAAGTTGTGCTTTATGTAATTGGTTGAACTAGCATTGCCTGGCTTCATGCCTCTCAGTTAAAAGTTTCCTTCTGATTCAACCTCATTGTGTTCATCTGGTTAGAGTGACATATATGTGGTTACTATACATGCACTGACTAAATTTCATGTGCCCTTTTTGTCTTTTCAGGAATCAGTTGGTCTCTCGAACAGACTTGAGTGATCGGTTTGCAGATATTCGATTTGTTCGTTTAACAACAATAAAGTACATCATAACACTCAATTATATTCTTTTTCTTCTCTGATTGTTAAGTTCATACTGTAACTTTTGTGCTATTTTAGGAATCTTCTATCAGGGGAAATTCTTTCTGGTTGTTGGGCGACTGTCGGGGTTCTATATGAGAAGGGGGGGATGAAGACTAGTTCAACAGGGAAGCCCTATAGTATATGGCAAATCGGATGTTTAGATGAAAAACCTGTCTCCCTTTTCTTGTTTGGAAATGCCTATCAAAAGAATTGTAAGGAAGAAGTTGGAACAATCTTTGCTCTATTCAACTGCAGTGTGCGAAATAAATCGGTACTAGCTTTTAATGTGTTAGTGAGATCCATTTGTGCTGATATATGTGTTTGAATTTTGCAAATATTAACCTTCTTGTACCTTTTTCTTTTCAGAAAGAAGGATTTACTCTGACCGTTTTTTCTGCTCCACAAGTGTTAAAAATGGGAACTTCTGCAGATTTTGGAACATGCAAATCATGCACACAAGTTATCAACAAGTATGTGATTGAAATCCTTATGTTTCTTGTTGTAATGAATGGTGATAAGTTACCTCTATGTTCTTGGTGTAATTATAGTTGCTACTTCAACATTTGTTTTAATTTTTAGTTGCACCTAGAATCAATTTCCTTATAACTTATCTTAAGTTCTGTAAACCAACTTATGCTCAAAGAAACATTATTATGTGAAAAGTTCCCTTTGCCATTAATCACTATTATTTATGGGGATGCACTTGGTTGATGTGAGGAGAAATGCAGACAAGACCCATGAAAAGAAAAATGGACAATGGAGGAAAATGATCATAATGAATGGGAGATATCTCATGACTTTCGTTTGTCTTTCTACAAAACCTTCTCCATTAATGCTTCTCATAGGTGTAATCGGGGACGGACCCATAAATTTTTTTAAACGGTAGCACCATTTGACCATAAGAAAAAAATATAGGAAATTTTTTTCAAACTGTGGCACCGTTTGACTAAGAAAATGACACTAACATGATTCGGACTTGGGTGTGGGGTAGAATAAAAGCCTTGAAAACCAACTCTACCAAATAAAACTTGTTCTCATTGTAGTTTCAAAATACATACGGTGGCACACAACAAATTAATACGGTTGCACCGTACACGAAACCTAAATTTTTTACCCTTCGGCGGAGAAACGATACGGTGGCACGTGCCACCCATGGCACCTATGTAGGTCCGCCCATGGGTGTAATTGACTTTTTTAACTTCTGATTGCAAATTAACCATAGTTTTTAAAAAAATGTTAAAAGAACGCCATAGTTTGCAAGAACAAGTGATTTTGGACAAATTTTGGTAATTTAAATAAGAAGCATCATATTTGATACTTCTTGCAAAAGTTGTCTTTTTTCTTTTTTGCATTTTCCCAAGAATGATAATTTGTCTACAATAAAGACCTTATAAAATGGTTAGAGATATCATTCTCAGAATCGAAAAGAAAAGCAAATTATTGGTGAGAAATACTTTTTCCTTTTTCTTATTGTATGTTGCTAAAAAATTGGGAGCACATTAAGTTTGCACATTTGGTGAAAATGAAGATGGGATTTACATAACATGTTTATCTCTTAACAATGTAATCTCCTAGTGTGCTGAAATTTACCTACTCTTAACCATATCAAGAGACTATACAAGAGATGGAAGTTTCTTGCATTAGCTTCCCTTTGTGCTATATATATATATATATATGCTAACTGATTTTTTTCTGGTGCTAGACGTCGTGGAATACATTGCAAGTACCATACAAAGGTATGGATGCATTTATGTATCTTTCCTTTGCTTTCCACTTCTGGTAACTTATTACTTTTGCTGAGTACTAATATCTTAATAATTTGACCACAGAATGCAGCACAAAAGTATTCGACTAAAAGAGTAGAGTTCATGGGAGGGTATGGAATCACATCTGTATCTTTTATGCCGTTTATCATCTCAATGTTTTCATTTTATCATATATGATGTGTGGAGTAGTGAAGCTGTGAGTGTAGGTCCCATTTACAAAAGAATATGGCTGGATTTCACAAAATAGCTAATGGACATGTAAAAAATGGCTCATTTTTGCACATTTGCTTCAGGAATTTGAGGACAGCTTTCAGCTTCAAAGATAGAATGCAATCAGAAGGCATCTACATGGTTGAAAACAAGACAAATGTAGCAAAGGCTGGGCAGCCGAAGAAAGTTCTGTCTGTGGAGGGATTAAGAAAAGCATTAAGGTTAAACTTTTTAACATCAGCCTATAATTAATTAAAAGTTTTTAAGTTGATTTGTCAGCATTTTTCTCAAGTTTACTTGAAAAAATAGATAGGACTCACAAAATGAAGAATGGACAAAAAAAATAATATATTCAAATGGAAACCATTAATAACTCCATGCTTTGTGCATGTAGGTTCCTTCGAGACTTAAATTTGGTGTTTAGTCTATTTCTTAGCAGTCGATCCTAATATGTACTATGTTACAGTAATGCAGGAAAAGTGACCACTAACGCTTACTCGCAAGGAATAAGATTTTTATCTGAAGTTGCAGGTATATTATATGTTTTCGTGATCTTTCGAATTTGCATGTTTGTAATTATATTGTCAACTATAAAATGAATTTTCACTGACAGGGAAACCAAGTTCAAGTTTAAACCACCCAATTAAGAGCTCGGATAAAAGGTAAGAGGTCATGGTTCCTTCATTTCTGTGTTTTCTTTTGCTAGAAAAGTTGGTATGTTTCCAATTCTTTGTTTTTGGTTTGTGAAAGGAAATCGTCGGATGTGGAGTCAAATCTGCCTGAGGTCAAAACAAGTCAACAAAATGCAAAGAGAATAAAGATTGAAAAGGGTCAACAACCATCAGCAGCGAAAACCAAGCAAGGTACAGAAAAGATGGTTGAGTTAGAACTTGTTAGTTCAGATGATGAGTTCTGACCCTTTTTTCGTATGTATTCTTGACAAGAAACTGACTGAATTCATAAGTTATAATGCCTGTAGTTGAGTGGAGATACAACTTGATCGGAATTTAGTGTAAATTGCAAGAGATCCATAGACCAGAAATTGACTTCATTTGCGTTCCCAACATGAAATTTTTATAATCTAGATTGTAATTTTGAGTTTAAATGTTATTTCATCGAGACCCTTTTTTATACGATTTTGTTGGCTTATTTTCATGCTTATAGTATTTTCTAGGAAGTGGTTTATATGATTCAACATGTTGATTGATTAATCTGGGCCTGTTGTTGAAAAGTATGACACAGGGTCAAAGTTGTAGGTTGAGTTTGAAGCAAAGGGATCTTTTTGTTTCAAATTGTAGCTTAAAGAATACTCGAGGCTAGGTGTTGCAATGCATCTACAGTTGTACTGTACAACACAATAAAACCTAGACATTGGATACATAAATACAGAGCTATAATCTTGTGGGGTTAGGTCAACTGACAATAAAGTTTGGTCCTTTGGGGAGGTCACCGGTTCGAGTCCTGCAAGTCCACTTGTTCTCCAGGGCCCTTGAGATTGGTCGAGGTGCGTGTAAGCTGATCCAGACACACTTGTGTTAACAAAAAAACTAAAAATAAAGAGTTGTATTTTAGAGAGGAGTTATGCCAATTCCCTTGAGATGTATAGAGAAGGGTATCATGTCTTGACCCTTACATAGATATTAATTTATTTTTGCATTGTTTTGTTGTTGGTATATTTGAACGCATTTGGGATCCGATTATTTGGTAGCAATTTTGCACATTTTAATTGTATCGTTTGGAACATGTGTGCATTGATTTGTGGAAGTTATGCATCCCGACAATTATGATTGTTAATCTCACAGTTAGATGTATGCTTAATAGGGGTGTTCATCCAAACCGTCCACACCACATCGTCTTACTACACCAGAAAGTACGATTTAGAGCATCCGCGGTGTGGTTTGCCTTGTGGTTTTGAGTTATCAAACCGCAATTCAAACTGCACCGCACCGTATATTTTATATATTTTTTAATTTTATAAAATATATATATATATATATACACACATACATATTATATAGAATAATTGTTAATTTATATAATAATTTTGGACTTTGTGTTTTGGACTTTTGGTTTGAAGTTTATTTTTTTTACTTCTTAGATTGTTTTCTAATTATGCAATACGTATTTAAGAATCAGAAGTATTGAAACTCTTTATTTTATTTTTTTTGAATTACGATCATGTTATCATTGATATTATAATTATTGGATTGTAGATATAAATTACAATAGATAAAAATCGTGTAAACCACACCACACCGTAAACAACCCACTTGAGGTTGATTTTGTTGTATTCATACTTTTATTTATGGTATAAGAAACCAACCAATTTACACTGTGAAAGTTTTGACAGCATTTCATGGTTATATAAAAAGTCAAACAAAAGAGTGAATGTGGTCCATGCACTTGGGAGTTGGTACCAACCCTATCCCTATCCCTATCTTGTGATTGTTAATTGGATATATATATATATATATATATATATATATATATATATATATATATATATAGGTCTATTCAAGGAAGAACTGAGTTGTTTGTGGTAACTGTGAGAATCAATATTAACCACAATTTAATAAATAAATTAGGAAATTTATAAATTTGGTAATTTTAAATTAAAATCTTAATACAAGGATATTTTTGGTATTTTAAAACTCTCCTCTCTCCTCTCTTCTCTCTCCGGCCA